AAATAAAATTCCATAACTTATAACCACGCAGTATCAAGTATGTCATGTTTGAAACATTCAATGTTTAATGTGTAAAAAATTCCAAAATTCGTGATGTCACACTAATTGAAATTACTTTTCGATAGTGCATTTTGAATGAACAGCATAGAATTGAAATTGGCTTTTCAAACAGCATTTCGCTCATCCAGTTCGCCACCTATGCCTTTAAAAGGTTGATTTTATAATCTGTCACTCAGAGAAAGCATAGCTTTAGTTCAGCTCACAAATGTACAACTTTCTTAGTGAAATTGTACCAGAATTCGATAGGGAAGCATACCAAATGGGAAGCATAATGCCCTTTAACTTTGAAATTGGTGTATGTGTACCTATATAGCATTCAGTAACTCGGCACAAACCAGTCCCTTAATGCCAACACACCAATATTTAGGGTTACAAACGGGCCATTCCACAGCATTTTTCCCTTCTCGACTGTTTCTGACCTCAAAATTTACTGCTACTGGAATTTTTGCCCACGGGTTTCAAAACACGAGAAGCAACTTCACTCTACATTTTCATGAGACGTGAAGAGGTCACCAAATTTTGGAGGAAGCAAAATATTACGAGGGGAATATATTGGGGAATGGCCACACCCAGCAAGCACGCAGGCTTCAAAATGTTTGTCAAAAGAAGCAAAACTTAGTTATAATCAAAGTCCTAATATAAACATCTTAAAATGTCACACTGAATCGGTTGAAATTGAAATATTCGTATACTTCGTACCGGGCCGCCTCGCATCCACTCCCTGCTGGCTGAAAACTGACGATGAACTGACAACTCTTACTATGAAGGTTCACTTACACTCGTTGGGGGGGGGGGGGGGGGGGGGGGAGGCAGGATAAAGAGAGCGCCTTTATTGTCTTATTGAACATTCACTGTTTTCCAACAGGTGAAACATAATTCTTATACATTTTTTTCTAAAATTCAATTTCCTGGCATTAAATGCATAATTGTTCAATATCCTCCAAAACATACCAGTAAGAAATAAATATCAGATCCTAACTAATGAAACGTCATTATGTAGGTCATGGGCACCCCTAATATGCCTTTATCTGAGCAGTTTTCGCCATGTTTGACAAACTAAACAGTACCATAGCGCCACCTGGAGGAAACAGAAATGAATGTCTCGGCTGCAATCAGAAGCTTATTTTCGAGACATGGAATAGTTATTGTCACTGCGGAACGTCAGATTTTAAATTTGAACAAAAAATAAAAAAAAAGTGGATATCTTCACCGATGGGTTTTTTTTTTTTTTTTTTTTTTTTTTTTTTTGTGAAGTAGGTTTTGTTAGATATGGCGCTGGAATAATAAAAAAACCTATTCAAAACGGTTTACAGCTGTGATGTGATAATTTGCATACAAAAAACATGAGGTTAGAGGTGTAACATTCCTTTTGTCCAAGATCGTTCGGTACATTCTGTAATAGCTGCGTGCGTGGGTGACCTTCATTGTACGAAAGCAAATGCACCACACAAACTGAGACTATATAATAACAGGAATTAAGATCCCACAAGAAACTTTTGAATGGTAAGTTCATAACTTTTTAGCCTTTCTCGTACTGGTTCATGGAAATTGGTTATTATCACCCATCAGGGTATCTGTTAAGATGCTGACTCACTTTATTTTTTAGTATTATTTTTTTCAAAAATCATGAAAATCATGTCATTAAAATGCTTATCTAGCAAAGAGAGCATAAATCGTCCACCCACAAAGCACAAAATCTGGAAAATCGTGATGTACGGAACAATTAACAGGATATGCCCATCCTGATTTCACTACACTGTGGTTCAGAAAGTGAAAAAATATGACACTACTAGCGCGTCTGTTTACGTACGTAGTGTGGCTATATAAAAACCGCTGATATAGTTCTTCTTGCGTTCACAACACTTCAGACGGAGTCAAAGATAGACTACCTACTGGTGAGAGCTACAACTGTCTTGTCTTGTTTTAAGGTAAGCGCTCCTAGCGTCATGTTTCTTTCTTTCGTTGTTTTTATAGGTTGATTGGATAAATGCGCGCACAAATAATACTATTTAAAAAATTACAGCATTTTTTCTTTATTCAATCTTAAGCGTTTCGTAATTTCTTCGAATTCGAAAAAAGCGTTTTTCAACGTAGCTTGTAACTCAGCATTAACTTTGAAAACCGTATCATGTAAGAAATGGATAATTATATAGGACTTGCAAAACGAAGAAAAAGAGTGCTACCCTCCTTATTAAAGGCTGGATTTTGCTTTCTCTGTTTATTCATTTTTGTTCGTTTGTTTTACATGAAACGCACAAAAAAAAATTCTTGGCTTTATTAAGTAAAACATTGACTCAACTTCATATCGAATACCTTTTTAGCAAAATGTCTTAATATTGCATTAAATGCTTCTTTCTACTTCCTTTCTTTTTTAGAATGACTCCAGAAATATATAAAGCTGGACCCCTTCTTTCATAAACATTTATGAAAGTTTATTTTATCGTTTTCCAGGTCCTACCCATCGTTCATTATGTCCAAAACAGTTTTGATCGTATTGGTTGCCATGCTGTTGGTGGCGACTTCAATGGCGTCTCCAGTGAGAAGTACGTAAAAAGGGACCTTCCTTTCTTTATATCTAGATCTTTTGCTAAGAGTCATTATCCATTTGATTTTCATTTGGTTGGTTTTAGAAGTTGGTTCAATAAATGCGCGCGCGAACAAGAACAACATAAAAAAAAACAGTTTCGAAAGGAGAGTGTCGAGGGATCCCTTACTTTTTATTTGATGCTTAGAAATACTGAATGAGAGATAGACCTCTATAAAACGATTTATCAATTTTAGGGGATTTTTCAGTTTTGGGGCACTCTCGTATTGGAATTGGAGGCTGGTGATTTTCACTCGTAACGATTAAAACGAGAACTTTCAACATAACTTTCTGAAGAGACCGAAAGTGTTTTCATTTGTGACTTAAGCGAGATATTGATCACTTACTTTTTTTGACTATCCTTGCATACGTGACAACGAATTAAACAACTTCGCCGTATTTTTCATCGTTTCAGATAAACGGTTCTTCAAGTGCTCCGTGGACCCGAATTGCGGCGTCCATGTTGGCGTTCAAGCCGGCCCGAGCGGTCAAGTCCTCACTTGTTGGTGCGCGAACCCACAAACCAACATGAAGTGCTGCGTTGACGTCAACTGGGGTTAAATATTCAGACTATTTCTTCTATAACATTATCTTATATATATGCATTGACTTCAGCGCCTGAGCCAGAATTATAACTCCAGTTTCAAGTTATCGCTGTTTTGTCCAACCGCCAATGAACTTATTTAGGCATTTTGTATATTTGTAAAGTTTTTTTTACAAAGTACAAATTTCATTATATGATTTCAATCATTTATGAAGCATCCAACTACATTTGTAATATTTTAATCTGTACAAGGTTTGGATGTAAGACAAAATTATTGATATGTACTCAGACTCACTCTAAAGTGTAACAAATGCTTTTCTAGTTCCTCTATTTAATGAATAAACTGTCATCTAAACTACCTGTCTTATGTTTTATATTGAAGTGGTTTAAAAAGAGCATTGACGGCATTATTAAATTTCCCAGTTGTCTCTCCCATGCCTCAAATTTCCATGGGGCCCTGAAGCAAATTAAGCTAGGGTGCCACTTGGCAAAATACTAATTAATGCAAAATATCCACAATTTCGAAATTTGACCCTTTTAATATTTCCTGCACTTCAGTTTATTTGTACTAAGGAACTTGATTACAAAACACCACGAAATGTGCAAAACACTTACTCTTAAAACCAGAAAATCTTTAACGCTTATGCTTAAGTCCATTAAAATTAAAGCAGAATGGACTCAAGATCCCTTACATGCTGTTCAGCCTTCAGCTCCCTAGTAATTTAAAAAAAATTAATTTTTTGGTCATTTCTATAATATCCCAAAAATAACTTTAGTAAAGAAAATATTTATCCAATCATATTCGTCCATCATTGAACTCAAACTACCTTTTTGTCAACATCTCCTGTTACATTTGAAGTAAAACAAAAATGAAGTTGGGCAGTAATGTTGTTTTAAAACAAATGCATCACATGGCAACAGTATGGGAAGGGAGACAATCAGACTACGCACACACACATATATAAAGCTTACATGTACTAGGTAGTTCCATGTATTACAGAACAAACGGATTTGTCATGTAATAAGTTTATTTTCTTGACAGCTTAGAGAAGAGTCTTGTATATATATCTATATATAGAAATTTTCTTTTTTACGAGACAAAAATGATGACCTGTATTACTTAGGGATTTATCCCTTCAAAATGTCATGTTAATTTGTTTGTTTTTTATTTTATTGCATATGTTCTTCTTGTTCTCTATAATAAGGTGAACATATTTTAACCGACTGTATCACACACAATATTCAGTTTTTGGTGAAAATTCAAATCGTCATTATTTCAATTTTGAATCCCCATTAACAACCTTACACAAGAAGACAATAGCTTCAAATGTCATATGTATACATAACATTCTAACAATATGTGCACTTCACATGTCAGATTTCTTGGGTTTGCCCTATAATTTTTTTAAAATTGTAATAAATCCCCTGCAATTCTTGAGCACAATGCTGTAGGTAACGAGGATGCTGTATAAAATTTAGCTGTATAAAATGACAAGGCAGAAATAAGATCTATAACACTCCTGGGGGGGGGGGGGGGGGAAGAGAGAGAAAGAGAATGAGATACAGAAAAAGGAATCGTGCTTTATATACGTAGCATATATATTGGTGGGACAGGGCTGTTAGCATTGCTTTACAGATTAACTAATTTTGGGCTCTTTTTGATATTTTGCATCATTAGTGTTTATCTATGTGATTTGATGATATGTTTTGACTAGAGGTTTGTAGGACAGTATGTTACAGTTAAAAAAAAAACTGATTCACTTCACACCATATAACTCACGTCATGGTAAACAAATGAATACTTCTAAAGGAAATAATATCTTCCAACTGCTGAGTTTTAACATTATTCATTTGTTTCTGCAATTCAAAAATCAATTCTGTCTTTTGAGAAAGAATTATTTCTCTCTATCTTAGTAGTAAGTTTATACTCAGCAAAACAAGAAAAAGACCGACAAAATATGATTAAAACTCATATATATTAAGTGATAGCCAGCCATGATGGTATGTAAAATTCTATGTATAATATCATTCTTCATCCAACAACTTCATATCACAGAATAAATCTTCAATAAATCAAGATACTTTATTCCCAGGATAAGTGAGGGTATGTCTCAAGAAAAAAAAATCATTTCTGCACTCAGTTCATAGCATTTAGAGGGTCGTCAAAAATACTTGGTGCGTTCTCGTCAAAGATATTTGCCGCTTCTGCTGGACTGGTCTTTTTCTTTGTGCCTTTACTCGTTTTCTTGGTCTTAGGTTTTGGGTCTGTATCAGCAAAGATGTCATCTGGAAATAAAATTGAACGAGTACTTATCATAATCAAATCTAGAACAGTAGTGATGATAACTTGAGTATGAAGATATTATCAAACCCACCCTCAGGGGTTGGGGGGGGGGGGGGGCAAACAGGATTTACAAATTATAAACGAATCTGCGAGGACATCACCCTCACCCCCTGTCTTCACCCTCTGTTTCATCTCCCAGACCTTCATCCACCCTCCCTCCCTTCCAAGCCCCCAAAACTTACTGCCATAACCAGGTCACAGTTTTACAAAAAGAAAAAAACTAGTCAGTTCCATTGGCTTGGTTGACTAGGATTTCCACCAGAGTGCTGTAACACTAGTACTGATAGGGTAATATGTGCCCATGTGACCATGTTACCTTGGTAATTAAGTTCTTAGCCCTGGAACCTGACTTAAGTTTTTAGCCCACTGCTTCATCATCCTGACTACCCACTCCTCACCACCCGAAAAACCATAAAAACCCATAAAACTCACCAACATCTCCTTTAAACAATGGTTTGGTATCTGTTTTTGAACCAGTTTTCTTCTTGCTCTTCTTTTCTTTGGGTTTGGCTGCCGGAATGTCCGCAAAAATGTCGGTGTCATCCTGAAATATGTCCTCATCTCGTGTTTTGGGTTTTTCTTTCTGTTTCTTCGCCGCAGCTTTACTGGCTGCCGCTGCTGCAAACATGTCTTCGTCCTGCAATGATTATATAAAAATCGACAATGTAAAATTAAAAGAAAATGCACCAGAAGCTGTCTATTTAGTCTCATTTAATGTTGAAGAGGTTTTAATCTTCACGACACACTTTATTTTATAAAATGCTTCCACCAGTTTGAAACATGCAGTTTTCTGTGTCTGTGCGTAGCATGTGCGTGCCCCTTGTGTACATGCATGTATGCATGTGTGTATGTGTGTGTGTGTGTTCAAGTTCATGCACGTTCATTTATTCTACATATTAATAAATTCTCTCCACTGTTACTAAACATGTACAAAGTTTTAATAAAGTATACAACCCTGTAACAAAGAAGATATTAACAGACACCACCATTTATAAATATAACTGATTGTACCATGTCAGATTATATGTACATGGTACTGCTCCATACTTTGTTGATGCTGATGGCCCTTTTAAAGATGTCCCTTCTATGACCTTCTATGAAATCACGTGACCCAAATAATTAAATGAGCATTTTTAATTGGTGCACTTGAACTTCAATGATTCTTTCCACTAATGAATAAATGAAGCTATGCAAGACCCATAGACCTGCAGCTATAAATATAAAATTTCGATCTAAAGTGCTTTAAATTTGTGCAACAAATCCCAGATCCCACAGCAAGTCGACATATTTGAAATATGCTAAAAACTAGTCTAACTACATAAAACACCACCTAAACTAACAACACTCTATGCTACCATTATCTGCAGATATTTCATGTTTTAAAATTTTTCACAACATTGTTTTTTTCCCAGTCACCCTGTGTTTCAATGACTGTGTTCATCTGTAGCCAGCATAATACATACACTGGGTTTAGAGAAGAGTTTGGATGTGGTAAAAAAAACTTGAAAATTTAGTCGGTCTTGAAATTTTCTTCAAAAGACGATTCTCTGCTGACAATTTTTTTTTACTAAATAAATTTCATCAAACTTGAAAATTAATGAGTGGATAATTTTGAATAGTTCAGCTAAAATGACCATGTCAGATTCTGGCATTTTCAAATATTCATTTATTTTTAGGTCACAAAATTTTCAAGTTTTTACCAAGTTTTAGAAAGTCAGGGTGGTTCTACTGATTTTTCCCCAATAAATGTAACTTGTCAGAAATTTAGAAATAATATTTTAAATTATCAGTAAGATTTTTCATGGTTCCAAGGGATTGTATTTACTGATTCTACTAATAATGACCACTAAATTTGAAACACAGCCCATGATGCTCTTGAGACAAAGAGCAAAACGTAGCTGTTTCACTTTAATTTTTGTTCCAAATGATTTATCACTAGAATCATTTGTAAATCTTTTTAATCTTTTTTTTTCTTTAATAATTATATCATCAGTTGATTATAGTTTATCAAAGGAGACCAATGATGTAGGGTTCATTAATAACTTAAAGAAATAATTTTCATAAATAAATAATTTTCATCAATATAATAATATCACAAATCAGAAATCAAGAATATCTGAAAAACTGTAGACAATCAAATACCACTCTAACCATCCAGTTTTTTCAGATACATAGTTTCAGTTATGCATATTCTTATAATGAAATTGTTGTTTAATTTTCTTCATCAATTATAATGGAAAATATCACAAAAGTAGTAAACAAATGCTCACTTCATCTTCTTGCTCTGGACTTTCAGTTTTTCCCTCTTCCTGTAGAATATTTGTTGGGTTCAAAATAAATTATGAAAGCTAATGTATATCCTTGGTATTAGTCTGTGCAACAGCATTTGTAATAGATCCAGGCCCTGTAACTCGAAAGCATGTGCATTGAGACCGTACTCACCCATACTCGTCACATATAATACATTGTAGCCTCTATGTGATATCCCTATTCGCAACGTGCGATGCTTTCGAGTTATGGGGCCCAGAAGTCATAGGGCTCATTCCCAGTGAAACTATCAGTCTACGTAGATCGATCCAACTCCATGGGGACTCTTGCTGAATGCAATCAGATTAAGAAATTATTGGGAATGAGCCCTTACAGCAAAATTCGAAGACCCTTATCACATCATGCATTACACATCTGTAAGTGCTTTAATATAGATAGGTGTAATGATCAGTGTGAAAAAGGCCTTTTTAGGCCGCATTCAGAACAGTGGACTAACTAGTCCGTGGGTCAAATATGGCCGACCCACGGGGAATCTATTCAGTGTCTATAAGTGGATTAGACTGCAAGCTTTTAAGTGGGTTGCCATATTTGACTGGCCAACTAGTAAGTCCACTGTTCTGAATACGGCCTAAGACTTTTTGATTTTTACTTGATCTACTTACACCAAAGAGTTCTTCCTGTTTGGCAGCTTTTGTCGCTTTCTTGTCTTCTTTCTTTTCATCTTTTTTGGAATTTAAACTGGAGTCTGCGAAAATATCATCATCCAGTAGAGCACCAGAAGGCTTGGCTTTGCCAACAGATTTTGAGCTTGGGGGAGGTTTATTCAATACACTGTCCCCAAACAAGTCATCATCTAAAATCGAGGATGCTTTTGCAGTTTTCTTGGGTTCTGAAAAAATATCGTCTTTGTCGTTTTGTGTCACTTGGGAGGAGGGGGGCACAGCAGGTGTTGGAACATTTTTTGCTGCACCAAATAAGTCATCGTCAAAGTTGGTGACTTTCTTTTCAGCACTCTTTGGCTTGTTTCCAAATCCTGCATCGAAAATGTCCTCACCTCCTTGAAGTAGTCCCTGACCTTGACCCGCTTTTCCTTCAGGAACAAGGTCATCATTTCCAAATATGTCCTTTACTGGTTTGTTTGAGGTTGGTGCACTACTTGCTTGTGGAACTTTTCTGATAACTGTTGTTGTCGTGCCAGTTGTCACGGAAACTGCTGATGGTGCTGTTGTCATGGCACCTACTCCATCAACAAAGTCCTGTTCGGCTTGTCTTGCTGCTGCCTGTCTGGCTTGTCTTGACGGAGGTCTCCTCTTCTGCTGTACTTTGGCTCGACCCTGAAATTTGATCATGTATATAAATGTTGAGTACAGTTGCACAGAACTCCTTGTTAGTATTATTATTAAGTTATCATTATAAAATGATTGTTTACACTGAAAATTTAACTAAAAAAAACTCACACAAATATCTAAACACAAAAACACTTTCATATAACTACAAAACCAGATCTAGAAGCACCTGTGTATGTACCACTAGCAGTTGGACATCATGGAAATCATCTGAGATAGCTTAAAATAAGGCCATCAGCACTGTCTGATATATCATATGAGACTAGAATTTCAGAATCTGTTAGGTGAGGCTTACTTTTACGCAATAAGAGCGAAACTGGCAATATTGTCTAAGGAGCAATGCATAAGGTGCATGCATAATATGATGAATTCTCATTGCCATAGACCACAATACGACAAGAGTTCAGTGAAAACAACCAAATAAATTTCCACAGATAAAGTTTATCAGTTTTTATTCACTACCTTACCAAATCCACTAGTGTGCCCTTAATTCTGACCCAACTCTCCCCTAATACCATGAAATCTCCCTTGATTTTTAGTTAATTCGCAAAACTTCACGCTTTCTCAGAAGATGCCCATTACCCACCTTCGCAGCATTTTGTAAAGTACTAGTTGTGCTCATGGGTTGATCAAAGCCCACGGCAACTGTTTCAGGCTCCTTAGCAACGGGAGCCGCACCAGGCAGCAAAGCAGCGGGGTTAAATGCCAAACCAGCCTGGAAATAAATCAAAACTCAAACCACTGCAAATTTTAAACATGCAAAGAAGCTAAAAACATTAATTTACAGCCACTCTTCTAATTTTTAAGCTTTCATTCTGTCAAACAAAGTTAAAGGGTTCATTCCCTATGAAATATATCATTCTACATGTATGTAGACAGATCAAACTCCACCACGACTCTTGCTTAAAGGGATAATAACTCTTCGTATGAGATCTATATTTCAAAATAAAAACATTGTGAATAACTCATAGAAATATAATATATTCTGTTTTACCACAAAAACGGCAGTTATAGCTATTATTCTGATATCTGAGCTTGTTTTTAGACCATGTTACCTCCATTGAAGGCTATACTCTGTTAAAATCTCTCAAGAGATTTTAACTAAAAACCAAACTTTTAGAAAAAACCAGGGACTAACTTTGAATGTAAAAATGGATTCATTATAACCATTGGAAAGTATGGGAAAATTGTTGTTTACTCCAGGAAAATTCATTTTTTGGCTGAAACAAAGAGTTATTATCCCTTTAATGCAATTAGATTAGCAGATTAACACTGGGACTGTGAGCTAAAATGTTCATTAAAACATACTTCTGTGAAATCTGGTCACATCTCAAGAACAACCTCAAAAATCAAGCTCAGCAGTCACAGAAATAGAAGCTAAAGAAATATTCATTAAATTACCTGTAAGCGACCTATATTTGATTGTGGTTTTGGAGGACTACTTATTGGAGCCTCGGGTTTGGCATCAACACTGTCCTCATCTAAAAAATTAATGAAACAGTGGATTTTGATAAAGTGTGAAGAAATTTGCTAAATATTCAATATTTACTTTATAAAAGCATTTTTCCAAACACAATTAAATGGTGAATCTGAAAACAAAAAAATCTATCTTAAAATAACTTAACTTTTATTAACTTAGTGATAAGTTTTTGTTTTTGCTCTTAATTCTTTTTTGTCTTTATTTTCTTAAAATAGGATTGAATCACTAACTTTTTTCTTCCTCCTTTGTTTCTTTCTTTTTGAAAGCTGATGGATCAAATCCACCAAACATGGACACTCCCCCTACAGGTTTCTTGGGCTTACTAACTTCAGCTTCCGGAGGCTATGGCCACAATACAATACAAAGAGATGTTGTAAGAGAAGAATTTTATCAGCTGCATTATGTTACAGGCCCATAGCCAGGGGGGATTCAAAGAGTTAAAAAGAACCCCCCTTTTTGCCGGATAAAGATCCATTCTGGACAAAATTTGAGATACACGAAAGTTTCATTGTAAAAGGTCCACTTCTTCAGAAAAAGAACTCCTTTTAAAATTGCTGGCTACAGGCCTATGTTATAAGAATAAATCAAGTTTTCCACTATTAATTCACTGATGAAGATGCTCTAGGTAGACATTGAAATAATGGAGGTAAAAATTTTCAATATTAGCTGTTGATTGAAGAACAGTTACTTTATTCTCAAAGATATGTTGTGCTCACTCAAAAACTTGAGACCAAATTTTGATAAACAAGCAACATTTTTTCCTCAAAAGTTCAACCATGCACTTCAAAAAGTTCATTTTTCATCATAATAATATTTCAAGTTAATTCTCAGGCTAGTTACAATACCTTCTCTTCTTTCTTAGCTGCTGGTTTTCCAAAGAGATCACCTCCATCTTCCTCACCTCCTGCACCAAACAAGGACACCCCACCTGCTGGCTTTTTGGGTTTTTCTTCAACAGGCTAAAATTCACAACATAGTTTGAATTTTAAATAATCTAAATACTTAAAAGTATTATATACAGATTAAAATGATCACCTGATATCCTGCAAAGCTACTTATCATTTCCAATATTCAAACCTTAAAAAATTTCCAACTTTCAAACAGAATAACTTGTGCCTTCATGTTGGTATTTCCTACAGATACCTTTTAAACCAACATTTCATCCAATTAATGATGAAGATTTTCATCTGCTATTTGTAAGTAACTTCAAAAAAGAAATGTAGAGGTTCCTTTGCAAATAGCTTAATCAATAAATGCATTCTTTACCGGCTTACAGTAAGAAGGGACAAGACTTTTGGTTCCCTAAAAGTTGGAAATCTGCCGATAGCAAAATTTCATTACTGTTCTACATAGGTGCCAACACCACCCAGACAGTTATATATCTGCCGAAAGTCACAAAAATTTCATCCCTGAATCAGTCTTCAAATGCATGGGCTGTGACAGATATGACTACCTAACACCCCCATATAAACATTGGCTGGTAAATGTCAGTTTATTTCTCCAGCTACTGGCCAAAGGACCTCTACATTTCTATCGAAATAACATAGCTGATTCAAGTTTTCAACATAAAAATCTTAGGTTTTGACAATCTGGGACTTAGTAACAGCTACCTTAGATGCCTTGGCAGAACCACCTCCAAAAAGATCACCCTCATCCTCATCTTCTCCTCCAAAGAGAGGATCAGCAATTTTCTTGGCTGGAGTTGGTTTCTTTTCTTCCACCTTTTCTGCTTCTTTTCTTTCCTCTTCCACTTTAGAAGCACCCCTCGTCTTTTTGAGTCCTTTGGTGGCAGCGGTGGGATCAAAACCTCCGAACATAGACACGCCACCTATTGGCTTTTTAGGCTTAACTGGTTCCTCTTCCTGGAGGAGAAACAGAGGAGAAGATTTATATAAACAAATTTAAAGACAAGTGCTTTATACTTCTCATTTGATATTTTAATTGTAGCTGGAGAAATATAACGAAAAATCTAAAATATTACAATAACTTTTTCATTTTCAAAATTCTTATTAGGAAAAAAAGAAAAATTTCATTAATTAAGAGGATAGCAAATGCTTCGAAAATTGATAATTACCCCTTTCTCCTGTTTCTTTTCCCCAAAAAGGTCATCATCTTGAGATGGGCTTTTTCCAAAAAGATCTGTGGAAGATTCTGTCACTGTAGCACCCTTTACTGGGAGAGCAGGATCAGGCTAAAAAAAAAAAATTATACAATTTATTTATCTACTTCAGTTCAAGTATTATTATTTTTTGTCTCTTTTACTATGACTACAATCAAACATGCACAATATACTAGTACATTAATGTAACAAAATTAATGCAATTAAGTTACTCTTTAGGTATAAGAAGTTGTAGCATCTTTTACTTGGAAAACATGTTTAAGTCTGAAAAACATTGATCTGACAATCATAACCCAGTGATTCCCTTGGAGGTATACTTGCAACTGAAATAATTCTCAGTGTGTGTGTGTTAGAGAGAGAGAGAGAGAGAGAGAGAGAGAGAGAGAGAGAGAGAGAGAGAGAGACTAACCTCCTTAGCCTTAGGTTTACTAGGAGAGAACAGATCGTCATCACTCCTAGGACTCCCAAACAAATCTGTAGTGGATGAACTGACCGTAGCTCCCTTTATGCTGACCTTCTGTTTGGCTGGCTCTGTGGGCTGCTTGGCTGGTATTGGCTGCAGATGGCCAAAAATGAACAAAAATTTAAGTGAAATTGATGTTCTTACATGAAGAGATGAGTGGTATCAAGTTAACATACAACTGTGCAAGAGAAGAAAACAATCTCAACTATCACAATCAACTATAACATAATGACTCTCTATTTTTCTTCTCTCTCTCTCTCTCTCTCTCTCTCTCTCTCTACTCCCATATACACACACCATTATGTTGGAAGTAAAACACAGACTCCAGCATTACAATTGATTCTTTCTCACGCACACACTCACACCCACCCACACAAGCAATTGCTTTAGAGAAGAACAATCTCAACCGTCACAATCACCTTAGTCTGTGTAGGACTTCCCACAGGGCTTGCTGCACCAAACAAATCCACGTCCGGGCTTTCTGTCGGTCCGCCGCCAAACAAAATATCCTCATCCTCAAACAACATTTTACTCTTGCTTCTGGATTTCACCTGGGAAAATCATTCATTTTTCTTATCTCTGTTTTACCAATTAGGAATTGCAATTATGTTGAACCTTTTAAAATTAAAGACAGGGACAAAAGATCTCTGATAACTATATCATGTATATGGGAAGTAATCTCATCAAAGATAAAACTCATCTTTAAATTGAACCAGAAAGATTTTTTTCCTTTCAATTATCAAGATTAACATAAATAATTTTCTGTTACTTTCTTCTTTTTTTTTTTTACTTATCTTCGTAGTTTTTCTTCTTTGGAATATGAACACCTTCTTTAAATATCATAGTCCCATAAATCCCATCCCTTTACCTCCTGTGGCTTTGAAGCCTCAGTCTTTGGCACAGAGGTGGCGCCACCAAACAGATCCCCTCCATCTTCGTCGTCATCGTTACTAAAGATGGAGAGAGAGGGGCGTTTCTGCGCTGCTGCTTTGGGCATTGGCTCCTCTTTTGGTTTTTCTTCCTTTTTCTCTTCTTTCTTTCCAACCCCCAAGACATCCACCCCACCAAAGAGAGAAACGCCACCTGGTGGCTTTTTCTTGTCGCTGAAATAGAATAACAGAATTTTTTTTTAAATGCTGCCTCTGGTGGGCTTGCACTTCAAAACTAATGGCACTTTGCTGCCACCTGGTGGACAAATATCAAACTGATAAGGGATTGAGATTAAATGACTTACAGAGGTCATCTTCGTACACCATGGCAAATTAAGTCTGGTTGGTTCAAGCATGCTTTCAAGAGCAAGCTATACCTGGGGCATCAGCACTGCATACTTTTTCTTTTTTGTTACAGTAAAACTTGGTCCAAACCATAGGAAGTAAAGTCCCCTATACTTTCATTATGTTGCAGGATGGCAAAAAAATAACAATAATGCTTCAGTTTTTTCGGTTACATGTACCTGTCTTTAGGTTTAGAAATGGCTGCAAACAAATCTCCCCCATCACCATCATCATCGTCTTCATCAAATAGACTGACAGCTTTGGGCTTACTTGAGGTCTGAAAGATAATTATGGTAAAAACTTGAAAATTTTATCACTTAAAAATTTATTCATATTTTTAAATGCGGGAAACCCATATTAAGTGACAAACTTTTCATAATTATGGAGAGGCCCATTTTCAAGTTTGAGGTAATTTTCACAGTGAAACAATTGTGTAGGCAGAAAACGGTCCCAACAAAAATTTTTAAAGACTGACATATAATTGTGGCAATTACTCAATCTTTTCATTGGCCAAAAATCACCAAACTTTCAGATACATGATTTTATAATAACAAAATGTTATATTTCTACAGAGCATTTGTGCTGCTTTTACTGCATAGAATAGAATAACAGAGTAGCCTGCTTTTTAATTCTGTTGCTTCCACTCAATAAGAATGTCCTGATTCTAAAGAATTATGACTTTAAAAAATACAGTATTTGCAAAATTCACAATTTTTCCCACATTGAAAAGATTGAGTGATTACTGTATGATATATTTTAAGACAACAATCTACTAATTATAAATGACTTTCAAAAATGTTGCACAAAATTTTTTCAAGTGCGTTTTATCTAATTGTCAAGCCCTAACAATTTACAAGGCAACAGCTGTAACACTGACCTCTTCTAAAGGCAAAACAAGTTATTAATAGAACTAACTGCTGTTCACTTATATTTGCAAAATGTAAAATTGTGATAATTAAGTTTTTCAGTATAATGCAACAAATTTTGACCTTGGCTATATAGAACAGAAATTAACATAATAAAAATTACTGCAAAGGTTTTGCCAACAACATGGTGTCACTGAACTTGACCTACAGCAAGGCACCACATGCTGTTTAAAGTTCTATTCTCACTACCTGAATATCCAATATTAAAAGACATGAAATTTAAGAAATATGGGTTTAGAATTTGCTACTTTTTTAGGTCAGTGCTGACAAGTTGAATAACAAACATAAAGATAAATTCCACAATAAACACATTAAAACAAATTCCACAGTAATCAAATACATGAATATAATTAGTATGAGCAAGTATTCAGAAATATATATCCTACCATTATGTGTGTGTGTGTGTGTGTGTGTGTGTGTGTGTGTGAGTGTGTGTGCGAGCATAACAACAAGAAATAAACAAATCCCCTTCCTCATCAGAACATATGTTCTATCTAAATTTATTTAAAAAATTACCTACCTTTGATGCTGGAGCAGAAAACAGTCCATCATCAGTGCCTTCCTCACCAAATAATCCACCTCCTCCTCCTCCACTGCCAGCCTTGGGTTTATTTTTACTGCAAATACAAATATTTAAAATTTTAACTAAAATGCCCTGAAATTGCAATTTTTAAGATGCATATTAAGGGAGTAGACATGTCAAATTACTGCCATTAAACCTGACTAACGCCACCATTCTTAGTATAGTGTCAAAAAGAAAACTTAAAACACACACACACACACACAGACACACACAGGATTTCATTTTGTTATTTCCCAAATGAGCTGACTGAGTGATTAATTTTTGTTTGTTTGTGTGTGTTTTTTTTTTTTTTTTGGCATGTGGATTTTATTCAAGTTGTGTATGAAACTGGTAGTAGTAATTTGTGTAGTAATTCTCATCGAGTATGCAGATCGAAGAACGGGTGATTGTAGGAGTATGTTGTACACAAGAGGAATGGTGTTCATCTCTTTGCATTCAATGAGTCGTCGTGTAGTTTTCTACACTTATGTAGGATGATAGTTTTAATGGGAATGTGCCCTTAGAAAGTATACTGCAGATAAGTAATAATAATAAAACTAGAAAAGCACTCCGAGAGCACAGACCTCCGCTAAGGTAGCAATTTTTGATTATTATTGATTATTGATTATTGATTGATCATTGATCCCGATCACCACCAAAAACTAATAATCTCTTCCTTGGCCCACTTCTGACAGTTCCTGAAAATTTCCTCAAAATTGGTCCATAACTTTTTGAGTTATGTTGATGATAAACAAACAAACAAACAGACAGACAAACAGGGGTGAAAACATAACCTCCTTGGCGGAGGTAAAAATCCTAGTACTTGGCCAGATGTAATACATATTCAACAGTGACAAACAACAGCAACATGAACCTTCTTCCAATCCTACCTATACAAATTACAACAATCCTCAGATTTACTTCGCTTTTTCTCTTTCTTCCTCACTGTGCCATTTTTGGTGAAGGAAGTTAACCGGACGAAAGCGATCTTCCACCATTTTGGTTTCGATGATTTCTCTTTCACTCGGCAACCGCTGCTATTTTCGATTTGTATACAGTCAGATGTCAGGGACGCTACTCCTTCCAAACTTTGAGCCGATAGTGAGCTAAAGCTCCTATGCTCTAATAATTTACATCTTTCCATCGTAAAAAAATGTCCTGTTTGAATGAAAAATCAATTATTTTTCCTTGCCTTGCCTGGGTACCAATAATTTTACAAGGAAATTTCCAAAATGTTTTTCTGGCGTAGTCTAACTTATTTCATAGCACTCTGTAGTCTTTTCCAAGTGTAGTGCTGCAGAATCCCACTTATTCTATGTCAATATCTAGCTATACTTTTCATATGCTTCAACAGTATATACACCTCGTGATTGCCTGGACCAAGTCCAGTCCAAACCTACATCACAGCTGTTGCATAAGCATCCATAACAGCATACAGTAATTTGTGCCAAGAAGGAAAAAGAAAAACGCAATATCCACATATGGGGTCAAATCTACTCTAATTCCTCATGACGTGTTATTAATTCAACCAACAGTGCTGACTTTCGTAAAAAAATTTTCAGTCATATCTGGCAAAAATTACAAGGTCCAATCATAGGTCCAATCTCATCTAATGCACTGTGTGCTTTTTGTCTCAACCTGTGCTGGTAATTTTCCACAAAATTTCTCAGTCATATTTGACAATAAGAGAACTTCAGTTCTAGCATCCATTCAAACTTGCCATGAAGAAATCCTCAAAGTCCATGTAATACTAAGTACTCAAGTGGTCAGACCACCAGTCTTCTGGTCAGTCCAACTGACCGCCCTCACAGAACTAAATTTATAATCAAAACTTAGTAGTCCGAAGATGACATCTACAGATAATGGAAAATCAGGGGTGGACCTAGAGATATTTTCTGACAGGTTTCCAAATTATCTTTGTTGATCCATCCTCCATTTTTGACAAGAAAAAATAGATACCCGTCAGTGTAAGCTTTAAAATCTGACCGTCTCCAGAAGACGGCCTCAATCTGCCCCTGAAAATATCTGTGCAACACCAGCTAAAATTCCCCACAGTTGCCTCTGGTGTACTGTCTCTTAAACATCTTATTTTTAATTGTCTGATGTAAAAATTTACTGGTCAGTTGCCTTGGACCAGTAGCTAAGGTCACACTAAGAGGACATCTGGTACCTGGGACACAAATGTTAAAGCAATTATCTTACAAATGGCATCTCCATGAACTAATTGTCTGTCAGTATTTCCTTACAGGTAGAGTCCAGTAATCCATGCACAGCTTTGAAGCAGGAAAAATTAAAAGATGATTCGAGTACTGGAAAATGAGCAGCCCCATTTTTTTCAAATAATTACAAAATATTTGCAAGGTCTTCATACCTGGGTTTGTATCAACATTTATTAGCACAATTCAAATTTCAACTTCAAAATTTGTAGATTATAATTCGTCATGTCCTAATTTGAGGATCCAACAAAAAAATCACTATCCAGATCCTTTAACCAAGAAACAATATCTGCATCTCCAGTTTCTGGAAAAAATTTTCCAACAATTCTCGTACTCTTAGAACTTTCACAGACTAAGTACAAAATTCATGGCTTCCATATTGATTGTCTGCTTTTCTACTTCATTCAAATGAAATATTCAGATTTCAACATCACACCTCTTTAATGTAAGTCTGGATCGCAAAATACTTCTGCCATTTTCTTCCATTCTCCATTACAACAAAGTGACACATTCTACAAAAGTCACATTATTTCCTGAAGATTCTCATACCACAAGATGTCCAAAAAGTTGGCTGTAGAAGTCCAAAATTCACCACCATCGTCGTTCTAGATCTGAGTTCACAGACTGTCGCAAGGAAATATGACTTTATTGGTCGTCCACCAACTATGCATTACAACAATCATGTGACCTAACACAGCTGCAAAGGGCAACAAATTTCCTTCATAATGGACCTCTTAGACTAAAACGCATTGCCAAGACTACTTTACCTCCCTGAGGAAAGTAGAAATGGTTAATTTGGATAACCTCAACTGTTGTAATTCCTCCAATTAATTAAGTGGTATTTTAGTTCAGGCCCTTAGGCGGGGGGAGGGGGGTGGAGAGTGCAACAGAACCACCTTTTTAGCCAAAAAAGATCCATTATGAATAAAAAATTGATCTTGGTTTTATGCCATTTTTCAAGTTGAAACAACTAAGGAGGTTAAAATGTCCACTTTCAAGTGGTATTGACCATTAGCAACATATCATATAGATATGCAGTATAAATAAATAAATAAATAAATAAATAAATAAATTTGTAGCTCTATCACCTGAAAACATCACAATGCATTTTTTTCAGTGAGTTCTCCAACGTTTAATTCAGTTTTACAAATTTCATCATATCTTCACTTAAGCTAATCAATCATCCAGTGATCACCCACCCACATAATAGAATTCAGCAATATACTGTACATTCATTGTGTTGTAAACTATAACATATTGCTAATATAAAGATTGCTCTCCACACACCTGGCACTAATAGGAAGTCCCAAGATCACAGCTGTCAGGTAAATAAGGCAATTATTCTTCTTCACAACTAGAATTAAGGTCTACACATTTAAGGTGGGAATCAGATTAAAGGTGTGTTTATAGCCAAGCTGAGCCTACCTTGCTTAGAGTGCATTCCTATAGATTTAGATCGATCCATCTAGATCGACCTAACTCCCTGGGGGTTCAGGCTAAATTGCTGTTAGCCGAGCGTGCACGGTAGTTAATTATCCCCTTACAGCTTTTAGTAGGCGTGAAGCTGGCTAAGCTGACAGTAATCTAGTGAGACTCCCCACAGAGTTAGATCGATCTAAAATCTGTGGGAATGAGGTCTTAGTGTTGGAGCCTTTAGAGATAAAGGCCTGTAGCCAGGGGGGGTTCTGAGGGTTTGCTGAGGGTTTGAAAGAACCCCCTTCTTGCAGGGAAAAGGTCCAATCTGGGTAAATTTTTATCTAGGTGCTCAAAGGTTTCATGGTCCACTTTGTTTTCAGAAAAAGAACCACCCTTTTGAAATTGCTGGCTATGGGGCTGACATAGCTACATGTAGTAATGAAAAAAGACCGGAGACTATGCAAGGTTTTACAACTTGGAAATTAATAATCATCTAAAAGTTCAGAATGAGAAAAAAAAAGAATGGCAGATCTTGATTACAAAATAAAAATTGCTTCCAAGAAACAAAATGTTGAGGGTGAATTTGGATAAAAAAGGCACAAAATTGGAAGGGGAACCTTTTTTCTTTTGCAAACAAGTAAAATAGGATTGTTGCAAGGCAATGTATTACATATAATGTACAAAATGACAAAGGAAGAGAAACTTGATTACTTTGTCTGATGAGTCAATAAATATGTAAATAGACAAGGTACCATAATCTGTACAGGTCTAATATTTTAATATTTAAAAAAAAATTAATTTTTAAAAAAAGTCAGTGTACAACTGTAGTGCAGAATACATGAAGCAGCAAGACAGATTTTTTTCTGATATTCTTATAAAATGTTAATCCGATAAAAATACAAGAATAAATAAATGTTTTAAAATTGAACTACCCACTGTAACTTTGAAAACAATTTTCCTATCAGACCTATTTTCAAACTTGACCCACACCATTTATGGAGAGGCCTGATCGCTCCGACTCAAAGGGCAAACTTTTTGCAAACTTCACGAATACCCAAAGCTGCCAACTAAAATTCAACATCTGTTGCACGTGGTATTTTTGTGCCACCTGTGACTGGGTATGCCTAGAAATGTGTGTAGATTTGCTTCACCCAGCCAGCATGGATGTATATGTACATGTATATATGAATGTCTACCCAGCTTTCTCTCTCTCCCTCTCTCTCTCTCTCTCTCTCACACACACACACTCACACACACACAAACACACACGCACATATTCACCCTCTCTCCTTCTTCCCCTCTCTCTCCCTCTTTCAAAAACACTTATTCTCTCTCTTTCTCTCTCACACGTGCGCACTCTTTCACCTACACACATACTCACTCACTCACTCCTCCCATACACACAATCACTCTCTCTCTTTCTCTCTCTCTCTCTCTCTCTCTCTCTCTCTCTCTCACACACACACACACACACACACACACACACGATAACCCAGTATCTATCAACAAACAACCTTGACTTGTCACAAGCTCATGATCAATTGTTACGCAGCAAAAGATAACAAACCACAAGCATCTAACAGATCAAAAACAACCATTTACAATCATTATCCTTTATATGAACAAATGTGCACATGGACAATTTCATTTATTTTTTTTATGCTGACAAAACCATATATACTAATATATTTGATAAGGAAAATAACAAAAAATACTTGTGTTTTGTTCTTTTTTGTTTTGTTCAGTTTTTTTTTTTACTTGAAACACTTGAACAATAAAATTAAACTTATTTTGAAACTGAGTGAATATATCTAGAGCACATAAAAAACTCTATGTCTTCCAAAACATCACAAGCTGTTCTGAGAAACAAATACACTTCCACACTACATGTAGTTGGTGAATGGAATCTGTCCCATAAGAGGACAAAATAGCAACATATGTGATGTCACATATATCTTGGTTTGACATTCAATTCACTGATCTAAAAGTTTACTGCTGCAAAATGGTTTCATTATTAGCAAATGATAACAACACCACAGGGTCATTTCGGATCCATTATTCATGGTCAAATCTAGCTATAAATATATGATTTTTCTTTCTAAGAACAAAACAGTCCCAATATTTCATTTCAAGAAAAAAATTCTGAATTTAGTCGATTTGAAAGTTTTGATTTATGGTCAAAACTTTATCTATAATTTTTTTTTTATGTGTGTGTGTGAAATTACTATATACCAATCATACCATATGCCCCTTTAATTAAGAACTAGAGTTGATGATGACAGTTTAAGTATTTTTAAACAATCATCTTAACTTTATAAAAGTTTTTTATCATTTATGTTTTTCAACTTCCTGTTTAAATCAAAGCAATTTAAGGAATAATTCTACATTTATAAAAAGTAAGCCTATACAATTTTTGTATTGCGCAGTTTTGTATTTTCAAAAAATTAAATATGTATATAGTGTAATGAAATGTATACAATGGAATGGGCTTTATAAGAAATAAATAATATTTCTGTTTTATTATTTTAATTATCATTACTTCATACCTGTCGGCTCTGGGTTTTCCTGCAAAAAGATCATCTGCATCTGGCTCTTCAGCGAACAAACTGTTGCTGGACACGGAAGGACTTCGACTGGCCTTCTGCGACGACGATGGCGTTGGCTTTATCTGTCCTGACGCGGTGGATTTACTGCTACTGGACCGCGACTTAATCTCCTCTTCCGAAGCCTGAAGCATGTTTAATTGGCTGGTTTACACAAATTGCACGGCAGTTACGTAAGTATCAAGTACATACGATTAACTATAAATGGATGAAAATCAGAGAGGGCACTATCCTCAGTGAAATGCTATCTCTGTTATCTGTGCTTCAAAATATGTTTATGCAGATTCGAGCTGATATGATAACTAAAACTCAGTTGTGGGCATTCACATGCTAAACCTTCAAAGAGGAGTACAGTGAGTATGGCCCCATTCAGAACAGTGGACTACCTGGTCTGCGAATCAAATATGGCAACCCATTGAAAAACTTGTCGTCTAATCCCCTAATAGGCACTGAATAGATTCCCCGTGTAGATTATGCAACAACACTCAGGGTGAAGGTGAGGGGATGGGGACAAACACAAGCAAAGATGACAGTCTGTTGCATAAAATATCCACAAAAACAGGGTACTTTTTTTGGGAAAATCAAGAAAGCCATTCAATGTGCTTTATGATTCAATTGTTTGAATAAAAGAAATGCCACCAATTCCAAATATATACTTATACAGTTGGTTTCACCTCGTTTCATCCTGCCAAACAAAATATTATGACAGAAAGTTGTCATAACAATAATTCTGAACTTATTCACCAATCTAAACACTTCAGTAATTGAACTTAACTAAATGAATAGTTTCATTTGCAATTTACTTGCATGTACATTAACGTAAACAGAATATACATTTATGTTATCAATAGCAGACTAAACAGGCACAAACTCATGTAACAAATATAAAATGCGCACACACACACACACACACGCACCCACACCTGTTAGCATGCGCACAAAAAAACTCACACACATACACATGCATAGATACATGCACGCACACACACACACACACACACACACACACACATACACACACACAAAAATATATATAAACATACCTCATCTTCTGAGGGGGGTCTCTTGGATTTCAGGGCTGCTGCCAGAGGGTTTGGTGCCCCTCCAAACATGGACACTGCCCCAGGGGGAAGCTAGCAAGGAGGGAGAGGAGAGGAAGGTTAGTTGGGTAAATCAAAATGAGAAAAGGCAAGGTAAATCTGTACTTCATTGAAAAATATGTATGGAACAAGGCAAAATTGTGAAAAAAGGAAAAGAAAATTTAATTGTTTATCACTGGGCTTGACTGAAATGTTAGGTAAGCCAAATTAATAATTCTTTTACTAACTTTCTTTTCGGGAGGTTTACTTTTCTTAGGCTCTTCTTTTTTCGTTGGAGGTGGTTTTCCTGAGAAGATATCTCCCTCATCGTCTTCGTCCTCATCATCTGCAAATAAGTCGATGGCTTTGGACTCTTTCTTCTTCTTGGGTGGCTCAGCTAAAATGTTAAATGGAAGAAACTTTAAAGAAAGAAGTTACTCAGTTTTTCTTTACAGTCCTTGAGCAAAAAAAAACAAGGTCATGCTGACATGGGGACAATTTAGGATGAGAAGAACAATGATAATATGAAAGACATAAATTTGAACCTTTTTAGCAGATCGAGCAGATCTAAAATCTAAAATTAACTCTGAAAATGATGATGTAAAAGACATAAATTTGAACTCTTTTTTTTTTTTGCAGACTGAGCAGATCCAAAATTTAAAATAAACCCCTTAAATCTCAGTCAATATTTAACCAGGTACGTACCCTTTTTAGGTGGTGGTGCAGACCCAAAGAGGTCTCCTTCATCATCATCATCGAAGAGTCCACCCCCTCCTCCTCCTCCAGACTTGGCAGTTGATTTTGTCTGGCTTGGTTTAGAACTTGGGGAACTAAACAGGTCGTTGTCATCATCATCTAGATCTAGAGAAATAAGTGACAGACAATTATAACTCTTTCTTTAAAGGTATTTCTTTATTTCTTTAAGTTTTAAATCAGCACAAAAATAGATGCATTATAAAGTAATCAGATGTAGGAAAAAACTCATTTTTGGCATTTGGGAGATAATGAGTTACAATATCCTCAAGTGAAATAAAGCTCACTTAAGAAGCTATCAGAGTCTATAATAATATTATTATTCAAAACTACTTAGTATTATGATCTCTAGAAAAAATCACTGAAATTACAAAATGGTTTTGATACAAAATATAGCAAGATATCATTTTCCACTTCAGAATATTTGCTTGATCAATGATCTCATTCTGCAATTTACTCCACCTATTGTTCTGTTTAATCAACTCACCTCCAAATATGGATATACCCCCTACAGGTATCTTCTTTCCTGTCTTGGTCATTCCTTTGCTCTCTGTTTGAGTTTGTGCAATTTGAATTAAAATGTGATAAGATGTGCATAAAAGCTATTTACAAGCATCGTAATAATCAAATTCAAAATCATTTAGTGCAATAGTGTTTCTAAAATCTTTTTTAAAAATTGTACATGATAAAAGAAAAATAAATTATCAGATCAATACTGTGAGTCAATGCAGAATGCAGCTATTTCATTATTTGCCCCGTCTTAAAAGTGAAAGCAAAATTGAACCTCTCTCGCTAAGAATTTAATGCAAATCGTAAATGGATACTGAAATGATTATCACAGCATGTAAAGCAATCAAGTTCACATGGTATGATCTTTAAAAAATATAAATTCTTTAAAAACTGACAACCTACAAGCAAATTTAGCAGTCATTAACAAAAATTACAATCACAGAGTGCAGCATGTACCTTAAAAATGCTTACTATTCTTAATTCTTTCAGTATTTCATGATTTTTATCAAATCATTATAAATTTCTATTATTTCCCCATAACCAGTTATCTGTATCTCATTTATTATGTTCATAGAGGTCATCATTTCTTGGAAACAAAGATCTTTGAACAAGAAATAATTGGGACAGTTTCCATGATAATCCAGTCTGCACCTTGCTCATTTTAGCTCACTGGTCACAAGAACAAGTAGACCTCAGAAAGCTTACTTATTTATATATAAGTTATTCTAAATCAAAATTCAACAGTCCAAAGCTAAAATCCACTGAAAATGGGAAGTTTTTCTGTGAAATATAATGTAACAAGTTCACTACTTCCAGTGAAGTAGCAACTTTGAGAATTGGACCAGTGACTAAGGCTGCAGACTGATCACCTGAAAATCAAATGTCAACTTATACAGAACAATACCTTTGGCTTTAGGGGGAGGTTTTTCTTCCTCTTCCTCATCCTCTTCCTCAGACTTTTCTTCTATTTTTTCTTCTTTTATTACATCATCAAAAAGACCACCACCCTGTAGAAAATGTCCAAATGAGAAAAACAATTATGTGATGAAGTATCCAGAACCTGAACCTTTAAATTATTTTATAGATTTCCTTATTCTTTTTCAAGACTTACAAACTTTTAAAGATGGCGATACTGTATTGTCATCTCAAGATATTTTTCAGGTCACTGATGCATCATCTACATTACGACAGCAGTATATGAATAATCACATCACAAGTGTTATAACACTAACAGTCCAGGAATAAAATCATTTAAATCCATGCATTATATTGTCCCATTTGGATGTCTTGGAATTTCCATAAAGGTTCTCTGACATAATGTTACTTGGATCAAGTAAAAAAAGGAATTGCAGATCAGACATAGAATAATAAAATGAAGCAATGACCAAAGAGTTTTAAAAGAAAAGAACAAATATGAAAGAAATAAGAAAGTGAAAAATGGGAAATATATAGAAAAAATTTAAAATATGCAGAAGATATTTTTAAAATTACCTCATCGTTGTCATCATCAAACAGTCCTCCACTACTAGAGAACAGTCCGCCTTTTCGACCAAAGGGGGAGTCATCATCTTCCACGGGCGGAGGGCCAAAAAGGTCCCCAGCTGAAAAGAAACACGGAATAAATGAGAAAAAATTCACTAAACATTTGGTTTTGAACAAAATCTCCAAAAGTTAAGCTAAAATGACGAAAACATTTGACTTGGAGTGAAGTATGGAATTAAACAAGGTGAAATACACCAAATGTTTGGTCTTATAAGAAGAGTCAAGGGAGTTCAAAGGGGGGGGGGGGGGGGGGGGGGGGAAAGGGAGGAAGAGAAAAGTTGGTCCAANGGGGGGGAGAGGGGGGAGATGGGGGCAAACAGGTGACAGTTTGAAACAAAAAGTGGAATATAAAAAATAATTCAGCTATTAGTTCATTTGGGAAAAAAACACCCTAACATTACAAGCTGCAATCACAGTTGAGAAAATGCTTCAAGTAGGGTACAATAAAAATTGAAACTGAGGAACCTTTCTTTGTATTAAACACTACCTTCACTTCCTTTAGATTCTTTCCTTTTGCTCTTCTTCTCTTTCTTTTCCTTCTTTTCTTTCTTTTCACTTTTGGAAGATCGTCTTTTCTCTATAATGACAAACATGGAAGACACATTTAACAAAACAAGATAAATACAAGCCAAAGTAAACTGTACCTGTGCACTACTTCTGATTTGTAAAAAAAAAAATGGTTTCAAAAAAATATTGACACCAACTTTCAATGTTTAGTTCTTTAAATTTGGTAAAACCAACACGAAGACTTGATGCAGCCAAGGGTCATTGGACAAAGGTTAAAGAGCAAGGGTCATAGGCCAAAGGTCAAGGGGCATACCTTTATGTTTTGGTGCCTCTTCTGCGTCCTCCCACTCATCCTGATCCTCATCCTGGTCCTGTTGTTTTGGAGGCTGAGGAATGCCACCCCCCAGCTTGGCAGCCAACTCTGAGGCAAAGTCCACTGGGGGTGGCGGCTTCTAGTTACAGAAAATATGATGGTTTATTGGATCAATATAATAATAATAATAATAATAATAATAATAATAATAATAATAAAATGTCAACAACAACTATCAGTAGTAGTAGTAGTAGCAGTAGTAGTAGTAGTAGCAGTAGTAGTAGACGTATACTAATAATAATATTTCTTGTGCAGATAGCCACAGATGAAGTAATATATGTTAAGTGAGTTTGAAATACTTAATACATGTGTTTATATTTTCATGCACATATTTTACCACAAACTGTGCAAAAATGTTCTGAGCATAGTATGTCATGCAAATAGTAGCCATCGACTCACAGATATCATAGGCTGTGAAATAGCTTCCAAACCATTTGTGTAAATATAATCTGGATGTATAATAATCTTTAAAGACATACTTTTGGTTTTTCTTCTTCCTCGTCTTCCCCCTCCTCCTCCTCACTATTGAGATCCTCTTCCCCTTCTTCCTCAGATTCTTTTGCAAACAGGTCGCCATCATCACTGTCTTCAATCTACGAAATACAGCGATACTATAGCACTATGTGACACAGTAATACGAAAACGAGAGAGGTGTACTGAATGACTCAAAAATTTTCAAAATCTTGGCCACAAACAAAACAATACATTAAGCAAAAATAAACAAAAACAATCTAAACAAATATAAAAACATGCAAGCAACCAATCTACACAAGGCTTTTAATTCAAACAAATACTGTGCAGAACAAAACACAAAACCAACAGGTTGCTAGAAAAATTAATAAATTAACATAGAAGAAAAAACAAATAGAAGAACTTGCAAGAGGAAATGATGTTTTCACAGATACTGAAATATACACGTCTCTGCTGGGTTACCTTTTTGGCTTTTGATTTGGCCTTGGTTTTGACCTTGACCTCTTTTTCAGAGCCACTCCCACTGTCAGTTTCACTTTCACTTTCACTCTCAGAAGACTGAATTGAAGGTTAGTTACAGAAAAGGTAGAATAACAACACAGAACTAAATATGCAATGCTATTCAAACTACACAGGAGTAAAAGAAAAAATCCAGAAATCTAAATCCGAAAAAAATCTGAATCTAAAAATCTTAAAAAATGAGCATGAACCAAAAAGTTATGTACACTTAAGCCTAATTCACACAAAGTGTCTGAACTCAATAAATGAACCACATGAAACTGTAAGACAGCCCACTACACACTGTGATACATTATAAACTGGTGTGCATTACAAGAAACTTTTGTCCAAAAAGGTCAAACTTGTTTTCATTGTTTAAAATCTGACATGTGGAAAGTCTGATAACGCGATTTGACTACATTTTCTTCATGAAAATAAAATAAGCAGGTGTTAAACCTATAAATTATTTTTTTAATTTAAAATAAAACAAATTCATATTTCCAAGGAATTATATTTCCAATTGAATTATGTTTTGATGATTATTGGGACCTAAAATCTTTTGCAGTAGTCTCCTAGTGCACTAAAGTTTGCAAAGTGATTCCCTCATCAACGAAAGTGCATCAATTTATATCAAACCATTACAGTTAGCAAACGAAACATATCAGTAACCATGATTAATCTATTAGCTCTTAATCAATCAACCAATCAATTAATTATCACTCATTTTAATAAATATCCAGTTTATCCACCAATCGTTTAATAATTAATCGGTTAATCAACTACAAATATCACACAATCATTAAAAAAAGTCTATCTGAAGATTTGAAAGAGACATGTCCTTACCTCTTCCTCAGAGGAGGATACTTTCTGTGGTTTTTTATCCTCTTCAGAGTCTGACTCAGACTCCTCGCTCTCTTCAGACTCACTGATGCTACCATGGTCTGACACAGCTTCATCTTCTACAGAAGGAAGTTTATTATTATTACTATTATTATTATTATTTACTATGGCTGAGGTCAATTTATTGTGCAGACTTCTGAAAAGCAATGCTGATTGAGGCACCACATTCATTTTGTAAACAGGGGCACACAAAAGAAATTTACATTACCAGTTCCACTCAGCTAGCAGAACGTTTAAACTTTAATAATAATAATAATAATAATAATAATATTTATTATTATTATACACCTGGACAAAAGTTTCTTCAAGTAATTTTTACAGAATCTGAGATGGGCATACAAAAGAAATCTACGTTTTCAGTTCCACTCATCTAGTAAAAAAAAGTTTTTTTTTTAATTATAAATTGGTCCACATGCCTCCTGTGATGGCAGAGTGACACACTCACCTGAGGGGAGCTCTTCTAAACCAACATCATCTGACTGCAGGAAGAGTGGAGTCCCTATCACATGGGGAAGAGGTCGATTGATGTAAGGATCCTGGAATAGAAATTATTATTTTAATTATTTCATTTTACATCAACAACATTTAATTTTAATAAATTATTTCATTATATACAGATACATGTCGCTATTTTGTTGTTGTTGTTGCTGTTGTTGTTGTTGTTGTTGTTGAGGGGCAGGTTAATGTAAGGATCCTAGAGTAAAAATTACTTTAATTCATTCTGTCTTCAAATATATATCATATACAATACAATATACAATATATACAAATACAATATCATAAATAAAATTAATATATCATATGTAAAAGTTACTATGATTTTTTTGTTGCTGGTTCTTCTTTATCTATGATAAATGACACAAGCTGTGAGTCACATGTAAAAGCTAATAAGAACACAATTATTCAAAAATGTAAATATAGAAATCTGCAACTGGAAGGTTTTTGCAGCGATGGTTACAAGAAACAGGCCATCAAATATTCACCCTACCTTTGTTGCCTTTATTTTTCATCCTGTTTCGAGAAAGGACGAGGNTTTTTTGCCTTTTTTTTTCACCCTGTTTCAGAAAAGGAGGGGGCAAAAAAATTTTTTTTTGGTAAAAAAAGGGGCCCTAACCCCCCCAAAAGAACCCCCCCCACCCCCCCCCCCCCTTAGAACCCCCCCCCCCCCCCCCCAGTATACATACCTTAGGTTCAAAAATGGGATCAACTTTATAATTGGCATCTTCGTCCTCAGAATCGGAATTTCCTGCATTCACATCTAGTTTTTCAAATGCTGTATCTATCACATTAAGTCCATAGTTAATAGCTTCAGTGATCTTTGGGATCAGTTCGGCTTCTTTTTGTTCCCTGGTCTTTTCTTGTTCCTCGCTCTTTTTCTCACCCTCTGGGTTTTCAGGATTTTGGCTGAGATCTTCTTCATATACTCTCTAGAAAATGAGTTTCAGATGATTTACTGAGCTAGAGCAAATAAGAACAAGAAAGGGACAGAGGTCCTTTTCATATACACATACTTTCTACAAAACAATTTCAAAGTAGTTTAAACAGGACAATATATCTACAGGAAGAGAAGACATGAACAGACAAACAGACAGAAAGATATCCCTTGAGCTATAAATATACTAGCCAAACAATCAAAATATTACAATAACTAATTTCACTACCCTAAATTTTAATGCATTTTTTTTCAAGGACACCTGTTTATCCTACCTGAATTGTGAAAAAATTCCATTAATCCCCAGATTAATATAATTGTTTTCTTAACTTAATTTACTTGTCAATATATTTCTTATTTATTTCAGTTTTGAGAAGTGAAATGAAGTGAAATGAATATCAACTTACATTTTCCACAAACTGTGTATTAGCCAGCATAATGAAGTCATTAAATGTATTATGCACCCTCACATCCGTGGACTGAAATAAAAATCAGAAATGAAAATAATAAGTTTAATTTATGCTAAAAAATCATCTAAACTGAAAGCTTTACACTATAAAGCCTAATTCAAAAGTTTATTTTTGATTTTTAAAAATCTGTTCACTTATAATTCATTCCATCTCATCTACAAAACCCACCAACTTACTCTATTATCTTACGAGATCTGGCCCCAGTTTCACAAAAAAAATTAAGTCAGTTCCACGGCTTAGTTGACTAGGATTTCCATGAGAGTGTTGTTACACTGCTCCTGATAGGATAAGATGTGCCCATATGATCATGTAACCTTGGCAATTAAGTTCCCGTACGCCTACCTTCATTTCATTCACAAGTCCATCGACCTGTTTTTCTATCTCATGAGTTCTGGATATCATTTTCTGTGAAAATTCTTGCAAGTACAACAGGAGCTGTAATATGTATGAAACATGTTTTAAAAAATTAAGACACAAGATTTGCCAACTATATTATAAAGTCTGGACTTCAATGTTTGTCAATAGTTGACTGCAATGCACCATATTTTTATGCATGTACATACATTGCACATATCATGAACACATTAGGTTAAGCTGTTCCATAAGGGATGGGATGACAATTATAATATCACAAAACATAAAAAACATGAGGCAAGATTTCAAATTCTCTTCAGGAAAAAAATGCAAATGCATATACATAAACTTATTGTGGTATTTTAAATGATAAAATTCTATGTGAGTATCTTAAAATGATAAATCTTGAAAAATTGAAATATTTTTTTAAAAGTGAGACTTTTGAAAGAATATTCTCCTGCATCTTACTGTGATATTTTAAATAACAAATTTCTATGTAAGAGTGTCTGAAGAAACTAAATCTTCAAAAAGTGACATATTAGGCTGTATTCCCAGAGCTTTTAGATAGATCTATCCCCACGGGGAGTCTCACTAGATTACTGTCAGATAATCCGGCTTAAATGTCCGTCCTGCCTACTACAAGCTGTAAGGGGGTAATTAACTTTCGTGTCCATTCGGCTGACAGCTATTTAGCGTGAACCCCCAGGGAGTTAGGTTGATCTAAGGTAAATCGATCTAATATCTGGAAATGGGGTCTTAGTCAAAGCGTGGCATTTTCAAAAAGAAATTCCTTAAACCTGACATCTTTAATTCAGCGTACCCCTGCATCTCCTGCCAGACTCCAATTTGTGGCACCTTTTCGTATTTCGTCAATGCTCCATGACCTTTCCCACACCTTCTCCTCCTCTTGGCCAGGTGGCGCCCCATGGGGACCATTCTCCTGTGGAGTGACTGGGCCATTGGTGACTGGACCGTTAGCCTAGAGGAGACACAAAACACATCCAACAACATTAAAATAATTTATTTTGTCATTTTCATTAAAAAATAAAAAAGGAAGAATGTGCACTTGTTACACATGACTGGCTTACTTGTATAAACTCCAGAAGTTTCAACATGAATTTAACCTGACTGCATTCAACGACACCCTAGACAATAAAGTCCAAGTTACTTGATGTTGGTCACCCCCCTCCCCCCCAACCTCAAAATATTTAGAAAAATTACTAGTCAATTTAATTAAACATGCTGTGTCTCCGACCGCTTAGCAATGTGCCATAATATAAGTGCATTAGTTGTATTAATTACCGAATAATCAAAATGTAGTTAAAACAGCGTCTGAACATCAAAATAAAAGCGAAAGTTATCAAAGAACAGGATATCAACATTGAAATTATCCAAACCCGAGCGATTCGTCGCTCTGCACAAAGGTTTCTAATTACCCTATGGGAAATATTAAAAATCCACAATGTGAGAATAGTAGCATATTTATATACTCACCGTCGTTCCCGTGTCTAGTGGCGGAGGAAGAGGAGTATCTCCCATATTTGGAGGTGGTGGGGGAGGCGGCGGCGGAGGTGGTGGTGGTGCCATCTTGGATTTGTCATGTGATAATATTGAACCGATGTTTGGAGTTTAGTTTCGGGTTACGCTGTAGGTACCAAATTAACGTAACTGTGAAAACAAAAAAGATTTTGTGGTTGTGTGGTGATCTTTTGTATAACTAATAAGTGGTCTATGAAGGAAAATACACAAGAACCTAAAAGTATGTTTCTTAGATTTAAAAAAATGAAAAATTTAAGATCACGACGATCTCTGTGACCTCAATGACCTCACAATAAACGCACACAGCAGAAAACGTCTGCGCTTTTATAACGCAACTATTTGTACACGCAGGTCTTGGAAACGACTTTGGTCACTGTAAATAGGCCTACCTATAATATATCATTTAAGTAGTGAAGAGGCCTCTTTATAACGTTTTATATAAATCAAAGTCTTCATGCAGGTTAATTAGGGCTGAGGCACCAGGACAAAATGTTTTATAGAAAATTGATTTTATGAAGCTAATTTTCACGTAAGAGCCTATTTCATTTGTCAACACAAATCTTCGTTTGTATGGAATCAAAACGGACAGTTAAAACATAAAATCGCTATGACAAACGTCTAGGTCTACAAAAAATTATTAAAAAATTATAAGATATAGGCTATAGGCCTATAGGACTATAAATAGGGCCTAAATAAAAAGAGACAAAGACGCAATCACTTATCTGAAATTTCCCACACTCTAGATGAGGTAGGCTATAGGAAAAAGTTAAGCTTGGCCACCAAAGCTAAGATATTGCCAATATCAAATTTTGCCTCTCGAGGCGACTTTGACGAACGCAAATTCAATCTCATCGAAAATTTTCCAGCATTATGTAACGTGAATATGAAGCCTCACAACTGGGTTATCTTATTGTAGATAATATATGCTTTTATATATAGACTATTTTCAGGGGCGGATCCAGGATTCTCTACAAGGGGGGGGGGGGGGTATTTAAAAAAAAACGAAAATAAAAAGAAAGAGAAAGAAAAAAAAGAAAAGAAAAGAAGGAAAAATAATTTTTCAACTTTAATACGTGGAACGAACGATCAAAATTTAATACTGAATAAATTATAAATTAGGCCTACTATTTAAAATTTAAAAAGTCTTCTAATAACAACGCAAGATCGTAACGTAAGCTTTATGACACTTGATCACGGTCACTTTGTTCAGTTTCAAAATTTTTATATCAAGGCATGTATTGAGCATAATTTGTCTGTACCAATATACCTAGTGTTCGGCAACTTAGCGCCAGGGAGATGTGAAAGGTTGACAGTGACAGCTCAGACTTATTACAATGTTAAAACGCGTATTAAAAATTAAACGTATAAACGATAAATATTTAATGACAATTTTTATCTTATTGTTTTATTCATTTGTTTTCCGTTTTTTTTTCTCTCTACTCATGGTACTGTCATCAGGGTAGGCCTACTGATAATCCGAAGCCATGAATGAAGGCGTCCGTTGTTAATTATCACCTATATCAGTAGACCTTCTATATACAAAAAATATCAATTTGTTTCTGCTGCCTGGTATAAGTTAATCAGGATTCTTCGTGTGACCTACTGCTGCTTTCTTTCGTTTTGTAAAATCACAATAACTTGTTTTCATTTCTCAGAATAAGAACTCGGTCGATTACAAAATATGTTTTAGAGTACTGAGGTGGCTGTATATGCTAAGTCCAGTGTACTTTCAATTGACTCACTACAATTCACTACAATCAAAAGAGCCATGCTCCCTCAGGCTGCAGTCACCCTACATTTTGGATCAGTGTTTGTACATGCATACGCACGTTCTAAAGTGACCCGCGAGAAGTTCACGGCTACCTGTAAGGCCTATCAGTTTAACGGACATCGGGCCTATCATAATTTTGGGGAGAAGGTATGTTGCTCAGAAATTTTCATCAAATTTGCCTGTTCATTTCGAAGTCACTGCTTAGTACTTATTACTCTTATTATAAAATAAAATAGTAAACAGAATAATCAAAATAAAAAATAATAAATAAAATGTATATGTTAAAAAGATATTATAAACAATTATGAGCATCACTATCAAACACCACCCCCTATTAACAAGTTGACCAGGAGCGCCACCATGTGACTATATACCAACTAAAGGTATAAAAGCGCAGAATTTCGAAATTTCGTTCATTTTACGCAGACAGATCTGGAGCAACAAGAAGGATGCCATTTACTGCGCCCCGTATCAAGCAATAAGGACACAGGACTCGCGTTTCTCCGAATCTATTCCTCATCCCAAGTCGACGCATCGCTCATCGGAGTCGTCTGGACGGTGGATTCGACGTTTCTCTAAGCTGGCCAGCTAAAACCTTCGCATCTCTCCACGAGGAATCGTCGCTCAGGAATCTTCGCAGGATACGTCATCGGCTTTCTGCTGTTGTGGGCTTTATTTTTGTAGTGTCATTGCATTTATTTCCATGCATTCCAGGTTTCTTCTATTCCAGGTCCAGGAAGCAGAGTGCTGACATAGGTAGGCAAAGTTATTAATCCGTTTTTCTTTCTTTTACCAGAAGTCCATTATGTCGATTCTCGATAGAGCTCCCACTGACAACTGCAAGGAGAAGAGGGCCACATCTACACGTCGGTCAATCCTTGGTGCCAGCGAGTCCTGCCAGGTCCGTCTCAGCGAGGTGGCTGCATTAGGGAAGCGTCCAGCGAGTCCTGCCATGGTCTGTCTACAAGATTGCTGCAATGAGGAAGCGTCCAAGACATATGGTGTTTCAGTGATATGGAAGACCCCTAAAGGTAAGCCTGACTGCCGAGTGCTGGCATAGATAGGAAAAAGTCGTTAATTTCTTTTCTGTTAACAGAAAACCTTTAAAGGTAAGCCTGAATACAGAATGCTGACATATGTAGGAAAAGTCATTTATCCCTTTTTTATTTCTGTTAACAGAAATATGTAGAAAAAGTTATTAATCCGTGCAGAGTAGTGACATATGTACATTGTATGAAAAGTCATTAAGCCGTTTTTCTTTCTGTTAACAGAACTCGATTAAGGTGATTCTCGATAGAGCTCCCACTAACAACTACAAGGAGAAATGGGCCACATCTACAATTCAGCTACTTCGTTCAATCCTAAGTGCCAGCGAGTCCTGCCATGGTCTGTCTACAAGATGGCTGCAATGTGGAAGCGTCCAAGGCATATGGTGTTTCACTGAGATGGAAAACCCATTAAGGTAAGACTGACTGCAGAGTGCTGACATAGGTAGGAAAAGTCATTAATTTTTTTTCTGTTAACAGAAAACCTTTAAAGGTAAGCCTGAATGCAAAATGCTGACATATAGAGGAAAAGTCATTAATCCATTTTTTATATCTGTTAACAGAAATATGTAAAAAAAGTTATTAACCCGATTATGGTGATTCTCGATAGAGCTCCCATTGACAACTGCAAGGAGAAAGGGGCCACATCTACAATTCAGCTACTTCCATCAATCCTTAGTGCCAGCGAGTCCTGCNTCTATCTATCTCTCTCTCTCTCTCTCTCTCATTTTTATTTTATAAAGAGTTTTTAAAAGCTTTTTCTGTTTATTCATCTATTGTATTACGTCAGCTACCATTTTTGGTTTGCAGCCATGCAAACATATAAATCACAGAGTAAAAGATTCAATAGTTTTCTTTAGTTTTCTTTCAGTAGGCCTACTGTCCAGGGCATATTCCCAGGCTTTATAAATTTATAATTTGTGGGTTATGTGGTTAATATGGGTGTTAGTGCTAAAAAATCTGCAGGTTGTGTTATTTAACGCCTAATCAGTTTATAAGGCCTGATTTCAGTAACAGATATCATATATACCGTCCAGTCGTGCAACAAGAGCAATACCAAGACTAAAATAATCGATGCTGTTGTGGTTACCCTCATCCGTGTATAGATAGGCCTAGACGGAGTTCCCATACTTAGATCGATCCTGGGGGTTCACGCTAAATTGCTACCCTCTACCAGGGCGAGTGTTTTTTACAGATATTCACAGATATGTCTCTAGCTAGATAGATGGTCATTTAGGGCTCAACTCAAAATGACCATCTATCTAGCTAGAGACATATCTGTGAATATCTGTAAAAAAATCTATCACTCGCCCTGGTAGAGGGAACTTAATTGCTATCAGCTCAAGAGGCTTAAATGTTTGTCACGCCTACCGAATCAGCTAGGGTGTAAAGATAATTATCCCCTAGCAGTTTTACTAGGCGGGACAAACATGCATTTAAGCCGGTTACGTTGATAGCAATTTAGTGAGACTCCCCAGGGAGATAGATCGATCCTTCACCAACGCTAGAATCCCCTATGTAGTAGTTAAACGTCTGTTTACCGTCCATTACATTGTTGAAATTTGTCTGTTACAATGACCTTTTTTTTTGTTTTTTTTAACTTCCAGCCATGCGGTAAAGGCAACTTCGCAGCCATGAAAGCCGAGTGTCGCACCGTGGGCACACACATCCCGCACTACGAAATGTACGTCGGCGTCGACCCCACCCCCCTCGTGGTCCCCTGTTTGAAAATCCCCATGGGGCTTGTGTGCGCCAACAATAACGTGCCAAACGGGACCTGTGCAGACTTCGAAGTGCGTTTCTTGTGTCCGAACAACGAGGCCTTCCACGCTCGTTCTCGTGCTTTCGCCACAGTTATTGAGGGAGGCCCTCCATAAAAATTTCAATGTGCAGAGCATGTCGCCGTATTGAATTCGTACTTCGAGTGTTAGTATTATTGTAATAATTTTTTTCGGAAATTTTTGCGCCTAAACATATGGTATAAGTTTATATCTGAAAGAAGTATTAAGTGACAAAATAGTAAACGACAGTGGTCTATTTTCAGTTAGATTTATGAACATATCTTAACAGACGTGTTTTTTTTTTTTAATTTTTTCCAAGATCTGAGCAATATTACATCTGGGCCGACATGCGTTTTTAAGATTTGTGGTACCTAACTTGAATAAACTATTTTTCTTTACTTTGTATTATTGTTTAACTGCCAGTTTTAATAGTTGGCACAACATCTTTGAAACCTTGACAGAGCACACCGTTAGATTTTCCAGAATAAAAAGGAAACCTCATACTCACCTAATTTTCCTGGGATAATTTTTTCTTCCCCAATTAACCAACCTTTGTTTCCTCTTTAATGAGACACGAAATATCTCTGTTATAATATGGGTAAGTTGAAAAGTCTTTAACCGATGCTTAATCGATGGGTTTTCGGAGTCCGTCATTCCTTCGAGCTCCGACTTACGAATTCCGCGCAATTAAAAAATTGATTATTTTGCGACTTTAACTCATGGAATATATATATGTTAAAATATGATCAAAAAGTCTTGCTAGCCCTTAGATAAGATGAAACAAAAATGATTTATGTACTTTAAATGTGTTTAAAATGCAAACATTTTTCATTTAAACGTCATGCTTTTGATATTCACTAGCGGATCCATGGCAATTTTGCTAATTTTTGCCTTGTTTCGCTCGTCATTTATATTTATTTATTTATTTATTTATTTTGTCTGGGGGGTGGAAAAGGGTACCCCACGGATCAGCCATTTTCAAAATTTCATTTCATTTTGTTTTTATTCTATTCTATTTTATTTATCTATTTTTATTTTTATTTATTTATTTATTTATTTATTTATTTATTTATTTATTTATTTATTTATTTGTCTATTCAAGCACTGATGGCAATTACACGGAATTCAAACAAAAGCTGCGGGGTCACCGCTGAATTGATAGATAAAGGATCAATTGAAGCGTGTACCGCGCCGAAGAAGAAGAAGCAGACAAATGGATTTATAAAGCCTACTCCGTAAAAACGAAACAAAAAAAAAAATCACTAAGGGAATTACAGAAATATGGCCGGAATTACCCAACGGCGTAGAGGGTATCATTTCTGCGTGGTTATTTGAATGGGCTTCATTGACACTCATTGTGAATGATTTTGAAACTGTTGTTATAAGGTAAAAATAAACATTAAAAAAAAAAAACAGACATTAATGACATGCAACTTTACCCAATGTTTACTTTGTTCGAGAGACCATATTGTAGGATGTACCCTTTTATTAGAATTTTTTTCAAAACGTAAATCGCTGCGAGCAGGGTTCGAACCTGCGCGGGAAGATCCCATTGGATTTCAAGTCCAACGCCTTAACCACTCGGCCATCGCAGCTGTTATAGATGGTCATTGATTCAATAAATTAAAAAAATACGAATTTATTTATTTGCAAAAGTTTTTTTTTTTACAAGATTTACTCGCTAAAATGAATTTTCCTTGAGGAAAAACCAATTTTCTCCTGCCGACGAATAATTGCTTGACCAATCCTTGCACTTGGATCCTTTTAAGAATTTAAGATGACTCCGAATCATTGAGACAACCTTTTTAAATTTTCTTTTTAGTTTTTAAGGGAAGTAAAGGATATTTATATTGCTTTTATCCTCCAGCTGTTTCCCTTTTAAATACAAAGTCTTAACATTTTTATTCATAACACGTTTACAGTTTTTAATACAACAACACTCTAACAGGGCGATTTATTCTTCATATTGTATATCTTATATATAAATCGGTTTTATTTACTTTATCTTATCTTATAGTGTTTTATTACATTTTTTATTTCATTATTTAATTCCAATACGCTGCTCTAATGGAAAAAAGAATATTAAGCCTTTTGCCAAACGGTAAAACTTCCTTTTAACAATCTATTTAGAGCTCATTTCCCTTTTGTAATGAAATTATATAGATTAATAAACTTGTTTATTTATTTATTTAGTTATTTTATTTATTTTTTTTTTTTTTGTATGGAGCTGTGATGGCCGAGTGGTTAAGGCGTTGGACTCGAAATCCAATGGGATATTCCCGCGCAGGTTCGAACCCTGCTCGCAGCGATGCACACTTTTACAATACGATAATGATATATTTTCTCCAAAACTGGTCATTATACGAAACGTCATATATGTATACTTAAACCACATCGTGTCTGCTGAAGCTCCCATTGCACTTGACGGCGTCCTTTCAGCATATTGTAGTATAGCCCCGTTTGAGTGTAAAAAAAAAAGATAATACTTTACATGCCGTCAACTGGTCTATCATTTAGCATTCATACTGCAACCAAATGCTTGAGCCTCTTTTCTGCTTCATCAGCGATACCAGTTTCATTGTCGTACAAAAGATGCAAAAAGAACGCCTTTCAGTGTAAAGGGGGGTTTAAGCGGCACTAAAATTCTCTACAGTCACATTCTTATCTCTAAAAGTTCTGTGTATTTCCTAATCCAGACATCGAAGAAGATAAATCTTCTGAAATTTATTTTTATCTTTAACGTAGGGGGCCTACATATAGTGGCGTAATTATTTTCTCGCCTCTCAAGTAGCCAAGACGGCTCGCAGTCTTTTTTTATTATGAACGGGGGGTGGGGGAGGGGGGTGAACTACCAAAAAGGAGGTAGGGCCTACATTGAGTTCGTTGATAATCCTGGTATCTTGTCTCCTTTTCACACAGTACACTTAAAATGATACGTGAACCGAGTAACTTAGGCTACTCAGGAGGCTATACAACTGTGCAAAAGTTGATAAAAGCAATAAACTTTCCATGTTGTTTGCACTAATAATTATCTGAAATTTTCATCATGTCATTATTTCACGGCGCAAAAAAAACTTTCTTTAAACCACTCTAGGGTCGTGTTCTCGAAATTTTCTGATATTCTTTTTCAATATGCAAGACATTATCAATTTTATGTCTTGCTGATCTACATGTATACTGACTTTTAAGTCATGCCTATTTATAAACAGCCTAATAGCTCTTTTCATTTATTAAAAAAAAGATAAGCCTAGATCTACCAAAGCATCGCTAAACAGAAAACCCAAGTTTTGTTTTCCTGTTTAAAATAGAGAATTTCGACATTTCTTCAAATCGAAAGAAATGTAAGCAAGCAAGTTACAAGTTTATCAAAACCATTATTGGTTATTGGCGGTAAATATAGAGTCTACTTTCAACCTTATAACTGTCACCATGAAAAAAAAAACCAAAAAAAACGCCCATTTCCCATTTAGGGCGCATGCATATTTCACGTGATAAATATATCCTAAAAAGGCAAACCATACTGTGACGTCATTTGCACGTGCCGACGTTACCAGGTAACACACAACCTATTGGAGATATGCTGCGCGCAAGCGAAGTAAATAGACTACGGCGATTTTCTTCTGAGTATAATAGATAAAATACACAATGATAGTTGCGTCACATATGGCCTTTTTAGGCATGAAATACAGTTACATGTACATTTTTCACAGAGAAACATTCAGACTCGAAAACGAGGTAAGATATTGCTTCTTAGCGGAACAAAAATCGAAAACTCAACTGATGGTATCAATATATCTGTACATCACCCCCACTACAGCCATTTATGACTTTGTTTCTTATTAATCAAATTAAGATTCCGTGAGGCGTCTTTAAAGTTTAGTTTCAGAAGTAATCGGGCCATTTTATTTAAGCACCTATTTTACTTATTTTGATAATTTCACTCGCAAAGAAGATTCAATTTAAAACGTAAGCCCTGGTAAATAAGATAACGAAGTTTCAATAATTTCATAACTAGGATATGCTCAGATAAAAGCGATTTTAAAGCTAGAATTTTACGGGGATTTTTTATCGATTTCCCTTTATTCAATGTCTAAGGTTCGGGCTCTTTTTTGGAAGGAAGACACGATGCTTCCGATTTTGGGAGGTGGAGGATTCGGTGCAGTGTACAAGGTATTGAACTTATGAAAGACAAACAAAAGTGATACTGGGATAGCGGGAGCAGCAATAATAATAGCAATGGTACACACATACATGACAGTAATTATATATATATATATTGTATGTTTAAAGCAGCAGCAGCAGCAAAACAATATGTTTACAGTGATTAATCATAAGTTATGTTACCAGTTTATCTTTGCTATTATTTTATACAGATTTGACCTTCCTCTAACAGAAATATTTTATTTTTAGTTTAAAAACAACCTGGCATTAAAGGTGCCAACCTCCGAGGCCTATGCAAGGTCCATCTACAGAGAAGTTGCTTTTATGAAGAGGATAGACAGCAAATTTATCTTAAGGTATTTTATTAGTTGAATACAAACTACTTAATATGTTGATTAATGCATCTGAAGCTCGGATGTCTTTAATGAAATATGCCAAATAAAAATCTCTTTACTTCATTAAAAGTTTGGCATTTAGATTATCGACATCTTTTACAATATCATAATGATAAATTGAATGAGAATAAGTTCATACTGGACGGATAAAAACGTCATAAACGGTGACTGTAAAAATCTCAATTATTTTTCATACAATGAGAAATCACTCTATACAGATTAAGAATCTTTCAACCCGATTTAGTTTATCTCAGTCTGATATGAGAAATTTCCGTTCCAGACTCGTTCACTCCTTTGACTTAAGACCTGGTTTTCCTGTCCTTTTGTCGGAGTTATGTCCAATGGACCTGGAAATTCTCCGGGAGTATTGGGAAACATTCTTGTAAGTAATTGTTTTCTTTCTTTCTTTTTCTTTTCTTTAAATAATTTCTTTTTCATTTTTTCTGATTTTATCTTGTTCGATCCTAAAAATATCGTTTCATAAGAAGTGCGTTATTCAACAAAATATTTTTCCTTAAATGTTGACAAGAATATCATATCATTGCTTTTATTTATTTCTATAGGGACGAAGTTCCTCTTCAGATGGTGAAATATATTGCCACGTGCGTCTGTATGGCTATTGGGCACTTGCACCAACGGCACGTAGCCCACTTCGATATAAAAACGAACAACGTTTTGATAAGTGTGCACGGGATCCCTAAACTAGTAAGATGTTAACTTTGTTGTGGCTCGTTTTTGTCTAATCGGAGTAAAAAAATAAAAGTCAGATTATTTTTCTCTTCTTGCCATAACGTTCCTTGGTGGGACTTGATTTCGGATAGCGTCTCGCTCTTCGCTAAGGCTCGATTTTACGTACCTGAAATAACTACGTGTCATAATCTGAATGAAAGTATGTTATGACTAGTAAAAATATGATTTTGTATTACATTCATAAAAGAAAATTATGGATGTAATCAACATTTTCGTTTTGGTAACCAGAATTTTCCCTTTTTTTTTCAATAATAAATGCAGATTTCTTTTTTCCAGTGTGATTTGGGGTCCGTTCACCCTCTCAATGCAGCTGGGGAGAGTACCCACGGGGTGGAGTTGATGAACTTCACCCTATATAAGAACATGACCCCAGAGGTACTGAGAGGTGGCGCCGCCTCGTGGAGGTCCGATTACTACGCTCTGGGTGTTCTCTTGTTTGAATTGATGGAGGGAAGGTAAGAAAAATGATGCAGTTCTGTGAATGATGAGTGAACTGTTATTCATGCCAGTAATTCTAATTAGGTTACAATACTCTCCCTTTTTTTGGAGCTGCTAATAGAATGATCACGAAATTAAGAATAAAGACAGTAATTTTTCCAAAAAAAAAAAAAAACTTCAAAATTTTAGATTAGTAAGTAGTGTTGGAAGACAAGAATAATTTTAGTCGATTTATTTAGGCACCCACTTTGGCTTGAATTGCCAACTAGAGCCGAAGCAAGAATGAAAATCCTCCAAGGCACCATCATCTACACAGATACAGAGCATGTCTTCAGGGACCTGATTAACAGATTAGTCTGGTAAGCAAATAATTTAATGAAATGCCGTGGACAACTCTATCACTGGCCTGTCTAGAGACATAATGCACTTTTCAAAATAAGTCTTGCTAACTCCTTAGAAATCGTTTGTCTTCAGTTTCCATTATCCCCAGCTGGTCTCGTATTGAACTTTCAACACAGATTGAACTATTTCTCTTTATTTCATTTCAGCGAAGTGGACCAAAGAATTGATAGCATGACTGGTCTTTTAAGTCATCGGTACGAATTTCATCAATGTTTTTTTCTTCCTGCAAGATTCCTTATAGCTAACACTTTAATAAATTCTTTAAAGCCATATCTTAATTTTTATTATTTATTTGTATTTTCTTATATATATTTTTTTTTCTTTTGTATTTAATCTATTTTATTATTATGTTCACTATATTCATTTATCTGCTATAATGTTATATTCATTTATTTATTTATTTAAATTCAGTTGGCTCTGTGACTACTACGTGACTAATTTTCCAACCGATATGGTCACCTCTCCCATTTTAGACATTGCTCAGGTAACGCTTGGGTTTATTACACTGACCACTTCTAATAAAGTAAATACTCGCTGGTATATGAGAGTGAATCTTCACGGACTTCAAACAAATTGTACATGCATATAAGTCAAAATAACCAAATGTCAGTGACTCTATAGCTTATACATGTTTGTAATGGAAAAAGGTGTCACTGTAACATTATAAGTTTGTAATATTGAGATATAGTTAACTGACTAATTATATGCAGCGTTTTTTTTTTTTTTTTTTTTTAATTATTTATTTATTATTTTTTTCGTCGTGGTACTGTAGGAAGTGTTGGCTGAAGAACAGCTGGAGATGGGTCCTCTGACTGCAAACAGCAGCGTCCGTAATATTGTTGACAATGGCTAGAGGACAGCTGCAAACCACCGGCTGCTTCAATACTTCTCTCAAGTTTCACGATTCATTTTGAAGTAGCCCACTATACAGCCGACTCTATGGAACGAACTATTCACTTCCTTACATATATGAGACGACTTTATAACTCAAGCTTACAACATTTCAGAACGATTAATAAAATATCCGCCACAAACATCTATTTAAATAAATTTTGAAAAAATCAAGAAGTGAATGATTGTAATTCAAGTTTTCCTAACAGTACTTTAAGCTCCACCAAAATAAAAAAATGGAACTAAATTTTTTAGACATTAAAATAGAGTATGGTTATAAAAACATCGTTTCCTTTGTATGTGCATAGAAGAAGTGGCCTTTTTTTTTTAAATCACATAATCATGTACGTATAATTCTGATAATTAGTATTTTGTAAATTGTTTTGGTTACACAACAGAAAAGACGAATAAAATTTTTAAAACCTTTAATTCCTCTCTCCTAAAGGCTTATCTTACTCAATGGGGCCTAATTTTCAGAGGGTGGTGTGGGTAGGAAGGTGGGTTGGGGGGGGGGGGGGGCTCCGCGAATGGGGATTTGGGGGAACTCCTCCTAGAAAAGTTTGAAAATTTGAAGCAAAATTGTGAATTTCAGTAGCATTTCAACCAAGAAAACTGAAGTATTTTTCTAGTCCAGATAACCAGTTTTTTATGCCTGAGAAAACATAAGTAGGCCTAAATTTGAAAAAGGGGAACTGCAAGTACATTATAAGTTAAATAACATTAAATAATGTTTTAATTTTTTTAAGTTATAAATACAAGGAAATATTAGAAGAAAAAATACATTGCTAAATACGTTTATTTTAATTCATTTTTGGTTACCTACCAGTCAGTCCCGATCAGTACTTTTTCAAATTGTCACAGTTACCGGTGTAACAGGAATGCAAGTCCTATGAATGGAAGTGTGGGCTCCCATATGATTACGTAGTACAGGTTAGGGTTATAGTTGGAGCATTGGGGTTAGTGTCGCCTATACAAATTAATGGGAAGCGGACTACGGTTCCTGGCGGAGTTCCATTCCTGTTACACCGGAATTACCTAGTGTTTTTATTGCGTCTCTCCTTTTTATAACTCCGTCACATGTTCGTAGTTCCTCTCCTGTGATATCAGGGGCCTTTAAAATGGTATACAATAATTTTGTAACAGACTACCAGCGCGGTAAGAGTGCACGGAATTCCCATCTGTTATAGCTAATGCACGCACAGAGAGCGTGTTAATCTCTATATTTGATTGCATTCAGCCAGAGTATTTAGATCGACCACGGAGGGACATGAACGAACGAATTATAATCGATGACGAAATTAATCAGGTTAATGTATACCAGAAAACTGTTAAAGACCCTTTTTTGAATAAAAATAACAATTTTATTATTATCATTTGCAATGTTGGATAAGCCCTATGCGCTAAATTCACCTAACCGTACCGACACGCGCAATAATATTTTAAAAGGAAGAAGAGTGTCATTGAGAGTCTATGTTTTCTAACCTCATTAAGTAGGCCACGTTTCACCCATTGCAAACAGAACAAATTTGACATTTAGCTTTTATTATTCGTAAAGTGATTAATTTCTCCTTATATAACCTCTCATATTTGTTTCAAAATAATGCCACCTAGGGCGTTTCCTACAAATTTGTTATTTAAATAAAAGTGTGATTGTTACAATGAACCGCGTGCCAATTGAATTTACGTAACACCGTCGCATATTTTATTCAGTTTTCTTTCATATCCTGGATTAATGTATCACATAAATAGTTTCATGTTTCTATTTATCACAACAACGAAATAAAGTCTATACTCCTATCCTCTACCAGGGCCGCAGTTATTATTCTGTGGACATTTTTGCTGAGGCGAGATTACCTATTTAACCAGAGACATATCTGTTAATATCTAGTGAAAAATCAGTCTGTGGCCCTGATGAGGACATATAATTCTATACTCTACAGAATACTGTACAGATAGAAGATCCAAGGATCTTCTGAACCACGGATCAAATTTGGCGGACCCTACATGAAAGAAGAGCCGACTGATCCGCCTCTCACACGCCTCCCCACGCGTCTGGTCGACTGGAGCCGACATTTAATTACTGTGCCCCTGCAGGGACGACGAGTGGGGAGGCGTATGAGAGGCGGAGAGACCATTAAAAAATTAAGCGGTCTTCCTTTCATGTAAGTCCGCCATATTTAAGCCTTGGACCAGTTGATACCCGGATCTTCTACTCTGAACGGGTCCTTAGTCAAACCACAAACAGTGATTTTAATTTACATGTGAGACTGGCCACGGAATAACCGAATCCACCTGATCTGACCATAAGTAAAACATATCACTTCATGCACGTAGAAATTCCTTAGTGGATATCAATACTTATGCGTTGGTCGGGTAAACCTATTAAGAATTTTAAGTGATGTTTGGCATTTACATTTGTATAAAATGGTTGTGTCTTTTAGCCAACCGCAGTAAATCAGTTTAAAATCCAGTGGTTTTAGCTATGAATATTTAAAGGTAAAGTTTTAAATTCTTTCTTAAAATTGTCAGGAGTCTCTATAATTTTTAAGTGCATCGGAAGACTGGAATAACTTGTTGAGAGAAGTCACTTTTGGTTTTTCAACTGACTTACCGTGATGTCAGTAATATTGATTAGGTGATCTTACGTCACGTTTTGGAGTATAATGTTTAACCAAGTATGGCAGGGGGATTCAATAGAAGTAACATATCTGTCCCAATCACGCCACTTGCCGTGTAAGGATAGCTAATAACAAACTCAGCATAAAAAAACTTGTTAATGCACAGAAACTAAGATTTTAATTAATTAGATCTGAGCTCTAATAGAAAGCCTGGGAACTGTTTACAAAGTTATGTGTGATGTGATTTCCCCTGGGTGCAGGTGAAGAGATGCGCTGAAACAAAACAGGGTTTTCATTAAGGTTATGATTTCACCCCTGTTTGTTTGTCTGTCTGTCTGTCTTTCTGTCTTTCTGTCTGTCTGTCATCAACATAACTCAAAAAGTTATAGACCGATTTTGATGAAATTTTCAGGAACTTTCAGAAGTGGGCCAAGGAAGAGATGTTTAGTTTTTGGTGGTGATCCGGATCAATAATCAATCAATATTAATCAAAAACTGCTGCCTTGGCGGAGGTCTGCGCTCTCGGAGTGCTTTTCTAGTTTCACATGCATGCTTTTTCATTTCTTCCCTGAGAAAAAAAAATTAATGATTAATCATTTTGCATGACATCCAAGGCATATGTTACCTGAATTGTGGGGATCTAGTAAAAAAGCACAGCTTTCAAATGCTTTTCCAGACAAGACGAGAAATACAATAGGCCTACTTTTTTATAAAAGAATAATTTTGAGCTTTCTATTTCGAGAAAACCGCAACGAAGTTAACTGATAATGACGACCCTAAACCGTGACAAATTTATTCATATCTTATTTATTGAAAAGGCGGAAAATACAATTTGAAAATCACGAATCACCCATTGTCATGGCTTTTAGGGATGAATGGGTCCTTAGGTCACCTCCACGTGGGGCTCATCACGGATCACGCTAAATAGGGCCCAATATAGACGTTTCACGAATCTCAGGAAATAAAAAGCGTTTTCACGA